TTGAAAGTGAAAAGTAAGTGAAAGTGAAAGTCACTCAGTTGTGTCCGACTCTTTGCAACCCCATGGACTATACAGTCCATGTAATTCTTCAGGCCAGAATACTGGAGTGGGTAGCCTTTCCCTTCTCCAGGGGATTTTTCCAACCCAGGGATCGAATCCAGGTCTCCCGCATGGTGTTGGATTTACCAGTTGAACCACAAGGGAAGCCCAAGAATACTGGAGTGGGTAGCCTACCCCTTCTCTAGTGGATCTTCCCAACCCAGGAATCAAACTGGGGTCTCCTGCATTGCAGGCGGATTCTTTATCAACTGAACCATCAGGGAAGTCTTAGGACAACACCAAAGGGAAGATGTGCTGGGAATTTGACAAAACATAGTTAAAAGACCCATTTCTGGGTCCTCACAAACTCCAGCCATTGGGAGAAAGCCAACAGCAGAGTATTTTTGGAAGGGTGGCATTGGTGTTTTGGGGAGAGGAGGAAGCCACTGTGTGAATCTTGAAGCATACAGCAGGCAGTGAATTTGGACGAGTCAATGGTGGCGCTGAGTGGACGATGAGGTCGTATTGCTGACTGTCCCCTGACATTTGTGAGCACAACACTGGAGACTGTTCGAGAGAAAAGAGCTGAAATCAAGGTAACCCTTCCCACTGCTTCCTGCATCACTGATCCACCAACACCCTTCCTTGTGAGTGAAGAATTTACAATATGCTATTTATTTGTACTTCCTCTTTTTCTCCCATAAACATGTATGCTTTTAAAAAATCATGATTTCAAAATTTACAGGGCTTCCCTGCTGGCTCAGCCAGCGAAGAATCTGCCTGCAATGCAGGAGACACAGGTTATAACCCTGGGTCGGGAAGATTCCCCTTGAGAAGGACCCACTCCAGTATTCCTGGAGAATTCTGTGCACGGAGGAGCCCAGTGGGCTACAGTCCATGGGGTCACAAAAGGTCAGACACGACTGAGCGACTAACACTTTCACTTTCACAAAAGTTATACATGCATATATGGTAGTGGTACACTGGAAACTTAACTGATGTGGGAACCCTTCATGCTACAAACTGCATAAAAATGCAGCCTTATAGTCATGTGCACACATACACATATGCAAGCCCATAACGCACAGCCAAGGCCAAAAGGAACAGAAATCCTTCGGTGCCAGAAACAGAGGGGAAGGGGAATCTCATGGTGTGTTTCAGCTGTGGTGCCAACAGGGAGACAGGCAAGAGGGATGGGACCTGGGGCTGTACCATCCGCAGGGGGCCCTGAACTGTGCAAGGAGATGATACCATGGCTTCAATCTGAGACTGTCAATGAATCTGTGAAAAGGAGAGTAGAAAAAACAGTCCATCATAGCAAAGGAAGTACAAGGAGCTCAACATCTGTTTGAAGCTGAGAGATTAAAACTCAAATTAGGATGGAGGTTTAAATGTATGTTACATGGTGGAGTAATTATGGTCAGATTTATTTCACACAAAGGTGTAGAGAGCAAACGTATGAACACCAAGCAGGGAAACAGGAGGGTGGATGAATTGGGAGATCAGGATGGACATGTATATACTATTGATACTAATGGGATTGACAGGTATACACTATCGATACTATGTACTGTTATTGTTCAGTTGCTAAGTCCTGTCCAACTCTTTGCGACCCCATGGTCTGTAACACGCCTGGCTTCCCTGTCCTTCATTATTTCCCGGAGTTTTTGCCCAAACTCATGTCCATTGAGTCAATGATGCCATCCAACCATCCTCTGTTACCCCCTTCTCCTTCTGCCCTCAATGCTTCCCAGCATCAGGAAAATAGAGAACTAATGAGAGCCTACTGTATAGCTTAGGGAATTCTACTCAATGCTCTGTGATGACCTCAGTGGGAAGGAAATCGAAGGAAGAGGGGATATATGTATACGTGCGGCTGATTCACGCTGCCGCACAGCAGAAACAAACACATCATTGAAGAGCAACTATACTCCAGGAAAAATTAAAAACTGGTACATCCAAAGCCCCTGGAACCATGGCAGGAGCAGACCCAGAGCCCCTCCGTAAGGCCTGGTCTGTAACCCAGGTTGCTTGGGAGCCCATGGGGTTTAGGGGGAGAACAGCTCTGCTGAAGATGTGCTCATAATCAAAAGTTACAAATGCCACAAGGAAGTAATCCACCATGAGAGTCAGCACGCATGGCAAACAGAACAGAACCCTGAGAACACAGATGGCATGGGGCAGTATGGGGCTGAGAATAATCTGAAACACTGTAAGTTTGAAATTACAAAATGTATAGCCATAACTGAAGAGTAGGACATTATGACAAATGAACAGGCAGAATTTTAAAAGAACCAAATGAATGTCACAATTAAAATAGATTAAAAATTAAAACATAAAGTCAAATATTACCAATGAAGGAATAAATGAACTGGAAAATAGATCTGTGGGAATCAGATAAATGCAAGACAGAACAATGAAGGAATGGAAAACATGAAAACAAAGTTAATAACCTAGAGGATAGAATGAGAACATCTAGAATATTTTTAAACAGAATTTAAAAGTAGCTTATTAGGATTTTTTTAAGGAGCCATGTGGCATGTAGGATCTTAGTTCCCTGACCAGGGATCGAACCCATGTCCTCTGCATTGGGAGCATGGAGTCCCAAACACAGGACCACCAGGGAAGTCCCCATCTAGAGTATTTTAAACAAAATTTTCTGAAGATAAGATTATCATGTTAAAGATTGCAAAGGACTTGCAAATTGAGGATTTTCAAATTAAAACAATGTGATACACACCTTATTGGAATGGTCAAAATCCAAAATTATATCAGTGCTGGTGAGGATGTGTTATATGAAAGGAGCCTCATTCATTGCTGGTGGGAGTGTGAAATGGTACAGTCATTTTGAAAGACTGTTTGGCAGATTCCAAGAAAGCTAGATATAGTCTTACAATATAGTCACTGATAATGCCCTTAGGTATTTACCCAAATGAGTTGAAAACTTATATCCTCATAGAAACTTAACCATGAATGTTTGTGTTTCTTTCATAAATGTCCAAACTTGGGAACAACCAAGACATCCTTCAGTGCATGCATGCGTACTCAGTTGCTTCAGTTAAATCCAACTCTTTGCAACCCCATGGACTGTAGCCCACCAGGCTCCTCTGTTCATGAGATTTCCCAGGCAAGAATACTAGAGTGGGTTGCCATTCCCTTCTCCAGGGGACCTTCCTCACCTAGGGATGGAACTGGCATCTCCTGGGTCTCCTGCATTGCAGGTGGATTCTTTAACCACTGAGCCACCTGGGAAGCCCCATATCCTTCAGTCATTGAATGGATAAACAAACTATATATCCATGCAGTAGAATATGGTTTAGAGATAAAAACAAAAGGTCNTTCCATGTTCAGACAAGTGTTTCAAGAGTGAGAACAAACAGAAAGCAATATACACACATTTCATAAAACTTAAAGAGAGCAATGTGAAGGCAATAATTATGATTAAACTCTTCAAAGAAAATCAGACATTTTGAGCATTTCTTTATGTTTCTCTGCAAGTGTTTTTTCTAAATTGAAGTATAGTTGATTTAAAACAGTATATTAAAGTGTGCAATATAGCAATTCAATATTTTTATAGATTATACTCCACTTAAATTTATTAAAAAATAATGGCTACATTCCCCTGTGCTGTATAATATATGCTTGTTGTTGACATATTTTATACATAGTCATTTGTATTTCTTAATCCTATACTTCTATCTTTTATATCTTAGAGATCACATGTATATGCAATATAGTTGTACTCTTTATTTAACATTCTAGGCATCTTTTTTGATTTTCACTGTTTTTGAAGGATAACTCTTAAAGGCCTGAATGATAGTCTAAGCACCATGGTTTAGTGAATTGCTAGACAGTTAGTATAATTACTAGACATTTAGACCAGAGAATTTCCTCCTAAATGGCAACTGGATCAAATACACATAAAAGAGAGACAAAATGATGCTTTTTTTTTTTTCCATTGAAAATCCCACCTGCTTCTTTAGTTGCCTGCCAAAGTGGGGAAGTATTTAGTTTGCAAGGGGCCATTTAGAAGCGATTGAGTTGTTTTCTTTGCAAGAAACACTTTGTTCCCTAAGTGCATTGCTTGAGGTGACTTTTTGGAATAATCTTTGATGTTCTAAACAAAGAAATGACTAATGTATACTTCTGTACCAACGTGTACCAGGCTCATGCTGGGTGCTTCCTGGACAGCAACCCTTGCAGGCTACTATTTAGGAGAACTTACCTACATGTAGGAATTTTGCATATGTGAGCTCCTTTGATCTTCCCTAGAACCGGAGGGAGTATGCACTATTATTCTACCCATTTCGTGGACAGGATCACTGTGGCTCTTAAGTAACACAGCTAGTCAGTGAGGAAGTCATAACAGGAATGCAAGTCTTCCCACTGCAGCCTACTGTCAGCTTATCCCATGTCCTGTTCTAGGCTTGGGTGGATGTTGGGGGTGGGGATACAGAAAAGCAGGGTGCTGTGTGCTTAGTCACTCAGCCGTGTCTGACTCTTTGCAACCCCATGGACTGTAGCCCACCAGGCTCCTCAGTACATGGGATTCTCCAGACAAGAATACTGGAATGGGTTGCCATGCCCTCCTCCAGGGGATCGTCCCAATCCAGGGATTGAACCCAGGTCTCCTGCATTGCAGGCAGATTCTTTACTGTCTGAGCCAGCAGGAAAGCCCAAAGCAGGATGGGAAGAACATTATAATAATGACCAAAAAGAGAGAGATTCAAGGACTGCACCAAATTCTCCCTAGACCGGATCTCATTTCATCCTCCTACAACGATGCTACGTAGGTGTTGCCATCGTTATCTTCCGCTGACCAGGGAGTGAATGCAGAGCTCAGTCCCTCCCCTTGAGGTTGCGCAGCTCTAAGTCACACGTGCCTGCCCCAAGCGCAGGGCCGTCCGCCCCGCGGCGCGGGCCCTGCTCCTCACCTCCTGTGGCTCTTCTCTTCCGTCCAGGGGAGATGGAGGAGCTGGAGACGCTGTGGCTCACGGGGATCTGCCACAACGAGAAGAACGAGGTGATGAGCAGCCAACTGGACATCGACAACATGGCGGGCGTGTTCTACATGCTGGCGGCCGCCATGGCGCTCAGCCTCATCACCTTCATCTGGGAGCATCTCTTCTACTGGAAGCTGCGCTTCTGCTTCACGGGCGTCTGCTCCGACCGGCCGGGCCTGCTCTTCTCCATCAGCAGGGTCAGTATCCCCGACTGCTACTTCCCGCTGCAGCAGGCAGCTCCAGAAAAGCACTGGGGCTCCCCGCGTGCTTTGGGACCCCTGGGCAGGGGGTGGGGGGTCTGCACACCCTCGCCTCACTCACCAACCCTTCTCGGATGTGTGTAAAGGGCCCCAGGTTCTGTGCTCATGAGCCAGAAGGCTGTGCAAGCCAGAAATGGAAGGTGAACAAATAAGGCAGGCCAGGCCTGAGAAAAATGAAACAAATGGAATGAAAAATAGCAGCTGGACCTGGGTGTCAAGGGGAGAGAGCAATGGAAACTGTGCTAAAATATGACATCAAACCCAGAGGCTATGATCATTCTCTACTCTTGCTGAGGATGGTCTTGGTGGAAGGCAAGGCCAGTTTTCAGTTTTTATAGGGGAAAATGGCCATCTGGTTATACAGGGAAACTTTCAATTTTTATTTTGAATTTTTTTGGTTGTTCTGTGAGGCAGGCAGGATCTTAGTTCCCCAATCAGGGATCAAACCTGCACCCCCTGCCACGGAAGTGGGGAATCAACCACTGGACCACCAGGGACGTCCCTCAATTTTTAAAATGTTAGTAACTAATTCCATTGAAAAGCAGAAAAACACCAAAACACATGGGGTAAGCACAGCCAGTCTGCGGCCTCCCTGACAAGCACCCGGATATGCTCTAGGACGTTATTAAAATTCCTGTGCGGGATGCTACAATGTTTGCATGCTTCCAAGAGGTCCCATTCTCGCAAAACAGAATCACCATGTAAAGCCATGTGTATACCCAGATAACAAGCCACAAGAATGTGTATGATGCAACAGAGCCCGAAATGAAATAGAGGCTTGAAGAACCACGAGAAAATGCACACGCTTCACACAGGAAACAAAATACACGTTCAGCCCGACACAGACAGCAGCACGGAGTGCACATGCCATGGTCAGGGCAGTCACGTGCAAGCCACGGAAATCTCCTTTCATGCTGCACAACATGGCACATGTGTGTGGCCATACACAGGTGCACATGGGGAGATGTGTTAATCACAGTGACAGCCATGGAAGGTGCTTCTAGCTGTGGGACACATTTATTTCCCAGGCACCATCTAAGGACTTTATACTCTTCATCTCATTTAGCCTACAAACCACTTCTATGAGATCGGTACTGATATGGTTCTAGAGTTGGGGAAACTCACAGTTACAAGGTTAGAGGGATCACTCAACCCCTCTCAGCCCCTTGCTGGAGCCAGGATCTGACTCTAAGTGGTGTAGTAACAACCTGAGCCCACAGTCTTACACAAGCAACAGACATCATATACAAGCAAAATAAGAGATTTGGTACAAATCATACTATACACATATATATGCACACAACTGAATGATGTTTACAAGTTCAACACAAACTAGTCACTTACTTGGATCAAATAAAAGCACATATATACATACATATTGTTCACTGATCTTCCAACACAGTATATAGGCTTCCCTGGAGGCTCAGATGGTAAAGAACCTGCCTGCCATGTAGGAGACCCAGGTTCGATCCTTGGGTCAGGAAGATCCCCTGGAGAAGGAAATGGCAACCCACTCCAGTATTCTTGCCTGGAGAATTCTATGGACAGAGGAGCCTGGTGGGCTACCGTTCATGGGATTGCAGAGTCAGACACAACTGACGCTAACACTTTCACTTTACATACATACATATTGTTCACTGATCTTCAAACGCAGTATAATATTATCTATCTACCTGATAATCAGTGTCATCTACCTATCCACCCATTCACCCACCCATCCATCCATCCATCCGTTCATTTATCCATCTATCCATCCATCTATTTATCTATCTATTTCGCCCATTTACTTGCCTTTGGAATTTGTTTTACTCTGAAAGAATTTAACAAATTAAGGTTTGAAACATGGTGAAAAATATGTAGTTAGAAGCATCTTGTTTTAGATGCTAATGTTTATTGGGAAAACAAAATAATCATTTAAAGAGGAATTTGTGTGTTCTTGGGGTTTGGTGGTTTTAAGAGATCCAGAAGGTACACACAAGCTTAGTCAGGAGGATTTATTTTCTCCATTCAGTGGCAACTAAACTTGAGTTCTATGCAAATACATATTTCCTAATTAGCTTGATGGCATCTAAACACACAGATTGCTTAAAAATAACAACGTGCATGCATGTAGCTAGGTATTAAGCCAACTTTAAGCTAATTCTCTCCGCCAATTACTGAAGGCGTTCCATATCCAAGTGATTCTGGGATTGCCATGAGCAAATGCACACAATTGCCTTTACTTGTAAATCCTGCTTGTTTTTGAAAGAGCGCTCCTTCTGTCTGAGATACCATTAAGTAAGCCAAGTGAGGATTGTTATTCTGAGAAATGAACTAAACCCCTCACTCCTGTTCCAAGCCTCTTGAGGGACAGGCGTGAAGGGGGAACTGAGTGTAGCATTGCTGTGTTGTGTCCTTGACAAGCCAGGACCTGAACTTCCATATTCCCCTCCCTAGTGGAGAGAGGACCCCATGTCCCATGGGACACCAACCTGAGGTGCCTGCCCTTTTGCGGTGGTCAAGGGCAAAAACCAAAACTCAGAGAGTCATTTATTTTACATTAGAACCAAGCTTCTCCCATAGCTGTGACTTTTGTCCATTACGACTTACAAAAAAGGCATCCTCTCTTCTGTGGGATGCTTTTAACTTTTGTTTCCTCTCCAAAACGCTGTCCCTTTCATTATAAAAAAAATATTCACTGTCATCAGCAAAGAGAACCGCTTCGGTTGTCTCCTAAGATGTGAGGAATGGGAGACATAGCAAAGCCAGAGACCAAGGAGGTAGAAATCATGACATCTTTCCAGAGAGCTCAGAGGAGAGCTTGAGGCACCTTCTGGCTGGCCTGCAATGGGGACGGCAGAATAGAAGTCACATACCATCTTTTCCAGGGTATCCCAGGTGGCGCAGTGGTAAAGAGTCCATCTGCCAATGCAGGAGGTTCAGGAGACGCAGGTTCAATCCCTAGGTCGGGAAGATGCCCTGGGGGAGGAAATGGCAACTCACTGCAGTATTCTCGCCTGGAGAATTCCATGGGCAGAGGAACTTCATGGGGCTACAGTTCATGGGGTCGCAAAAGAATCAGACACGACTTAGCAAATAACAATCGTCTTGGGCCATTCCGGCTGCTCTAACAAATTACCACTTGCTGGATGCTTCATCAACAATAAAAACGTGACACTCACAGTTCTGGAAGCTGGAAATCTGAGATGAGGGTGTCAGCATGGTGGGGTGAGGGCCTCTTCTGAGTTGCAGATGTCCCCTTGTGCTGAAGAAATGAAAGTGCTCTGTGGGTCTCTTTTATATAGGAAGTGCTCCTGCCAAAAGCCCCACCTTGGACCACATGACCTAAGCACCCACCTACTACTAATACATCACCTTTGGGAGCTGGGATCTCAATACATGAATTAGAAGGCTAGGGGGACACAAATAAGCAGAGGATACCGGACACTTTAGGCATCAGGCCCAGGTGCCAAGGAACCTTGGAGGACAGTCGTGCTCAGGCCCCACTGAGAATGTTCTGAGAGGTCAGGGTCCTCTGGGAGCTGGAGGATGGACGGAGCCAGTTGTCTGGGACAGCGTGTTGAGTCTGCAGTGCTCCCTTCATCTGAACCCTTCGTGGGGCCGAGAGGGCATATCACGTACACAATCCATAAAAGGTAGCCAGAGTCTGTGAATAATAGAGAGGAGGAAAGGAGGACCTCTGCAGGGAAGAAAGAAACCCCAGCCCAGGGATTGGCCTTCCAAGGTAGGGTTTGGGCAGCATATGGGATCAGAAAGCCACGGTGGCTTTCCGGAGCTAATGTGCAGTAGTGAAGGCTAGCACCTCTTTCCTGCAGCTCTGACCACGGGGCCGCTGTGTGATAGGACAGAGGGGAGAGGTGACAGTGGGGATGATGGAGCAGCTCACCCACTCACATCCACGGAGCCCTGTCCATGTGAGGTGCTCTGCTTGCATTGGCAGATGTTGCCCTGACATCCGCCTTAGAGTGCATGATTCCCATTTTACAGATGTGCAACTTGAGGCTCAAAAAGATGTAGTGACTGAGCCAAGGTCACAGAGCTAATAATGGATGATGCTGGATCTCGTGTCCAGTGGGCTTCTGGCCTCTGACTCTTCCTACCCTTCTGTAATACATACTCCCTGCTCCCCATCAGCCCATCTGGAAGATGGGTCAACTCAGTTGGAGAACCCCCGCCAACCCAACCTGGGGTACAGGCCAGGTCCATCATGTTGACTCCTTCCCGAGGCTTTGCCAGGCAGATCTGCACCTGGGAACTGCCTTAGTTGTGTCATGTGAGCCCCAGGGGAAACCAGGGATGAGAAAAAGCAGTCGGCCGCCATCCTCCCAGCTCTTGAAACATAACTCAGCTCCCTGGCCGCTTCTGAGGGCCTCCTGCAAATACGAGACAACGAGCTCGTCTCAGCATGCGGGAGCACACCACTCTGATGGGGGAGGTTGGAGGCGAGTTCTCAAAAATCTCTAAAAGGAAGACAGAAGCTCATTAAAATAAAATTGCAAAGTTAGAAAAACATGTAAAAGCTAATGTTCTCACAGTGCTAACAACAGGAAGAAAAGGCTCTGATCTTGGCTGATTCAGACATGTAGGAGACACGCTGATCTTCACCCAATATAGCAGAGTCCCTCTAGGTTAGCAAATGAGACGATTACATCACTGAATTGGTCAGGGAAAGCTTAAGTTAGCATAAAAGATTCAAGAGCCCTGCTCTGTGTGAAATACACATTTGTACAGTTTGACATCCAGTAGCCTCAGAAGCAAAAAGGAGACGCTGCTTCCTGGCAGGGAACAGGGAAAGAGACCACTCAGGGCCTCAAGAAGGAGACGAGAGGAAAGACTGCAGGAAGGTGAGAAGGGCCGTCCCCTTGTCCCGGGCAGCCTTCATCATGAAGCCTGGGATGGAGAGGTCAGGGGAAGAGATGCTCAAACACACAACTGTAGGCTTTGCTGCTTACTCTTCCTTGACACAGTGGAGACTGTCTCTAGAAGACAAGAAAGATGCAGGAGGGCAAACAGTGGTGGCTGTCACAGTTACATGAGCATCCCTGTGGGTTCTGAGCATCCCCACCATGGGGATCAATGGGGCTGCTGTCATCAGAGTCTACACTTCTCACACATCCTTCCCACGAGTTTACCCCAGAGTCAGCGGCAGCTTCTGCATCCCTTTCACAACCCCCTTCTTGGGCCAGACCCCTGTCAGTCTCTGGAGAACCAGGTCAGACCCTGAAGCCTGGACCTGATTGTTCCGTTTAGGTTGCTATTGTTGTTCAGTTGCTAAGTCGTGTCTGACTCTTTGTGACCCTATGGATTCTAGCCCCCCAGACTCTTCTGTCCATGGGATTTCTCAGTCAAGAATCCTGGAGTGGGTTGCCATTTCCTACTCCAGGGGATCTTCCCAACCCAGGGATTAAACCTACATCTCCTGCATTGCAGGCAGATTCTTACTACTGCGCCACCTGGGAAGCCCAGTTGTATGAGGATTAGAGGATATATTTTTTCCTCAAATTCCATGTATGACTATTGGCAAACGTGTCAGATAATCTTGATAATCTAAGTAAATCAGATAATCAAACTAGAGAGACAAGGGAAGCCTGATGCTCTGCCACTGGTCTCATACAGTTAAGAAACGTTATCAGGATTCAGACTGCATCTCACTGTTTCTCCGGGGCGCCTATTTCTCTGCTTTGCAGAGAGAGTTCAGGAGTGACATAGTTTCATATCCCCGATACCGCTGATGGTGTTTCTGTCCCTCCCCACAGGGCATCTACAGCTGCATTCATGGAGTGCACATTGAAGAGAAGAAGAAGTCTCCGGACTTCAACTTGACTGGATCCCAGAGCAACATGTTAAAACTCCTTCGATCTGCCAAAAACATCTCCAACTTGTCCAATATGAACTCCTCAAGGATGGATTCCCCCAAGAGAGCTGCGGACTTCATCCAGCGAGGCTCCCTCATCATGGACATGGTTTCAGATAAGGGCAACCTGGTCTACTCAGACAACCGGTCCTTCCAGGGGAAAGACAGCATCTTCGGGGACAACATGAATGAACTCCAGACCTTCGTGGCCAACAGGCACAAGGATAACCTCAACAACTATGTGTTCCAGGGCCAGCATCCTCTGACTCTCAACGAGTCCAACCCCAACACAGTGGAGGTGGCCGTCAGCACAGAGTCCAAAGGGAATTCCCGTCCTCGGCAGCTTTGGAAGAAATCAATGGAGTCACTCCGCCAAGACTCCCTGACCCAGAACCCCATCTCCCAGAGGGACGAGGGGCCCGTGGAGAACAGGACCCACTCCCTGAAGAGTCCTCGGTACCTTCCTGAAGAGGTGGCCCACTCGGACGTCTCCGAAACGTCGAGCCGGGCTGCGTGCCACCGGGAGCCTGACAACAATAAGAACCACAAGGCCAAGGACAACTTCAAGAGGTCCGTGGCCTCCAAGTACCCCAAGGACTGCAGCGAGGCGGAGCGCTCCTACCTGAAAACCAAGGCAAGCTCCCCCAGGGACAAGATCTACACCATCGATGGTGAGAAGGAGCCCAGTTTCCACCTCGACCCACCCCCGTTTGCGGAAAGCATGGCCCTCCCCGAGAACGTGGACTTCCCCGACACCTACCAGGAGCGCGGGGAGAGCTTCCGCAAGGGGGACTCCACGCTGCCCCTCAACCGGAACACCCTGCAGGAGGAGGACGTGCTCCCCAACAACGAGCCGTACAAACTCTACTCCAAGCACTTCAGCCTGAAAGACAAGAGCTCCCCACATAGCGAGGGCAGCGACCGGTACCGCCAGAACTCCACACACTGCCGGAGCTGCCTGTCCAACCTGCCCACCTACGCGGGCCACTTCACCATGCGGTCCCCCTTCAAGTGCGATGCCTGCCTGCGGATGGGGAACCTCTACGACATCGACGAGGACCAGATGCTTCAGGAGACGGGGAACCCCGCCGCCCAGGAGGAGGTCTACCAGCAGGACTGGGCCCCGAACAGCGCCCTCCAGCTCCAAAAGAACAAGCTGAGGATCAGCCGGCAGCACTCGTACGACAACATCCTCGACAAACCCAGGGAGGTGGACCTTAGCAGGCCCTCCCGGAGCATCAGCCTCAAGGACCGCGAACGGCTCCTGGAGGGAAACCTGTACGGGAGTCTCTTTAGCGTCCCCTCCAGCAAACTCGCGGGGAACAAGGGTTCCCTTTTCCCCCAGGGCCTGGAGGTCGGCAAGCGGAGCAAGTCCCTCTTGCCGGACCACACCTCCGAGAACCCTTTCCTCCACTCCTACGGGGATGACCAACGCTTAGTGATCGGGAGGTGCCCCTCGGACCCTTACAAACACTCGCTGCCGTCCCAGGCCGCGAACGACGGCTATCTCCGCTCGTCCTTGAGGTCGACGGCGTCATACTGTTCCAGGGACAGTAGAGGCCACAGCGACGTGTATATTTCAGAGCATGTTATGCCTTATGCTGCAAATAAGAATAATATGTACTCTGCCCCCAGGGTTTTAAATTCCTGCAGCAATAGACGTGTGTACAAGAAAATGCCTAGTATCGAATCTGATGTTTAAAACCTTCCATTAATGTTTTATCTATAGGGAAACATGCCTAATGGCCAGCGTTCCAGACGGGTAAATGGTGGATGCCCCAATAGTGCCCCGACCAGAGGACGAGGATTTAGGAAGGTATTTTTCAGTTGATTCTTTTGCACATGGCTCCAAGCCGTAGTCTTCCACTCAAGGAATCTTGTGAGGTGTGTGCTGAGCACGCGAGAGCCCAGATAGGTGAGTCCTTAACCAAAAACCAATCCACACCAGGGCGAGTCTCCTGGACGTGCCCGCCAGATATGTCGCAATAACGACACATCGGATGCCAGTGGTCATGTGACGAGTTCCTATATTCCAAATCCCATTAAGACCAGCCCACCCTGTAATTCCCTCATCAGAAATGCCTCACGGTTTCTCTGATACAGAATAAGCAATATGGTATGCATGTAAACCTGACACAAAATAAAACAAGAATGCATCCGCACTGTAGCGAGACGGAGTGTGCCAGAGCTTAGGAAGTTCGGCTTTCTAAGTGGTTCAGCTTTATTGTTCTGCCTCCCATGATGGCCCCGGCCCAACCCCAGAACTCCCGGCTCCCCCAAAGGATAGCAAACCCGAGTGTTTGTGGTTCACTCTGCTAGCTTCCTCATAGTCCATTTCCAAGACACATGGAGTGGCAGGCCCAGGAGGGCCCTCACGCAGAGAGCGACTAGAGTCTCTTTGGATGTCCGTTTGTGTATTTCACAGACATGCTCTCACCCTTGGCTTCGGTGGTCTTGCTCAGAGCTGCCAGACTCACACATGTGTGTCTTCGATACCGTAAGTGTGGATCTTCCATCTATGACGCAGCGGCCCTTGTAGTTGATCCCGGAGACTCCTGTGTACGTAAGTTTGCGTTTCCCCCTCTTCTGGTGATGACTCAGGGTTGTATAGTATCTGTTACTCTCCCCCTCCCTCCAGGAACCATCACTCGTTCAGTCCCCCTAGTCGCCGTGGCGTTTAATTCAGTGTGCGTTGCTGTTCCCAGCATGGTGAATGTGGGGGCATGTGCCGGCGGCCACACGTGTGCCGTGATCTCTAAGAAATAAAATGCCATCTGTCTTGCTAAAGGCCAGTGTGGCCACAGGACGATCTTCCTCAACCCGTCCTGAAATTCGGCAGGACACGTGTCCCTGCTCCAACCTCCTTAAATCAACAGCCTTCAAAACAGGAGAGACACTCAAGTATCTACCCTGAGCATCCTCCCAATTGTGGATAATCTTTAGTGGGACGGGTGATTCTTCTCTTCTGAAACAGTTGCTCTGCTGAAGGCCAGCTGCCTACCAGCACCAACAGAACTCGCAGAATTCCTCGAGGCATTTGTCATTTCCGAGTCACTTCCATCATCCCCTTCTCACTCGCCTCAAACCTGTGCAAAAATGATAGGAAATGATACTCACTTTTGTCCACTGTGGGGCAAGGCTGGGGAATCTTGACACATAAGCAGCTCTCAGCACAGCATCTTATGCATTCAGCGTGCCCCTGCTATGGACAGGCAAGTTGTTACTTTACAACACTTCACCAGAACAGAATTTTCCAGTTTAAAAATTAAACATGATAAAAACCACAGACAATACTCATTATATATTTTATACAGTTCAAATCTAATAATTAGCGTGTTTTAAATACATGAATATACCTGAGATGTTTGGGCTAAGTAGCCACTTGACTTGCACAGTCCCTGGATCTGTGTTGGTGTCCTGTTACAGAAGCCCTAGGCTAATGCAAACAAGCTGGACCATTCTCCGGGCTCCTGCATTTTGCCCTGGGCTCTTGGAGGAGGGGGGCAGAATGACAGCTTGAAAAGTTAACCCAGGTCTTAGAGCCCTGCCCTGTTCTGTCTTGTAGGCAGTGATTTCCTGTGAGTGGGCAGGTGCCCGAAATAATTCTCTTTGAGCTTGAGGATTCATTGAACGGCTCCATCTTTGAGATAGGGCACCTGATCTACCACATTCCTATAATGATGAGCAGTGGTTGATGAGAAGTTCCAGGGTCAGTGGGAGAGCGGCAGAGGGAGCCAGTGAGAGTCTTTGAGATGGACAGGCAGAAGGGGCTGACAAGGTACTGAGGATGAACGCACTTGAATGTTGCATTTTATTTTTTGGGTGTTGCACCTTTGCTTCTCCAACGGTGGTGGAGCCTCGATTAAAGAGCCCGGAATAGCCCCCCAGTCGCTACTCTCATGCACGCCTCTGATCTTATCATCTTTTACCATGTCCCGCCTTTGCCTTTCCAGTGCTTTTCAGACCTGTACACCCCCAGCCAGGATCACCTCCATCTCCTCACAAGAGTGCCATGTCTTAACACAAAATGAATTGAAGTCTCCCAGAAGAGAGCCCATGGTACATCACCAATCTAAAGAGGCTATCTGTCTTTCTCTAGTGTCCTCAAAACCAAGGAGCTGCCAAAGGTGGCAGAGATCTCCAGGGAGAGTGAGAACTACACTTGGAATGACCCCATAGATCAAAAAGCCTTCTTCTAATAACAACATTAGTTCTGCTGTTAACCCCATACCTCTCTGGGTATAGAAACTAAATATATGGCTTTGGGAAGAATCAACAGCAATGCAGCCAAAAAAAAAAAGGAAAAAAGTATACCCTTCCTCTAATAGTGAAAGGGTTTTTTAAAAAAGAAATAGCTAGAGTTGGATGCTATGTAATAAGTACATCATTTCCTTCCTCCACAGATTCACTGACACCTAATAGTGATGATCCCAAACATAAGACAACCAACCATTGATTGATGGTCATTTTCTGATGGAAAGATAGTGATGTTGAGCTATTAGAAGGCCATCCAAGTCGTTCAGTTCTTTGGGGAAAGAGTAGCAGGAGTCTAACGTCCAGAGGTAAATCACACCTACAGAACAGGAGGTGATAAGAATTACAGGGGATGCCCTGAACCATGGGTCCATTACAGAAGATTCCTCAGACACATCTCAACTCTGAGTCCTTAGATTTGTTGATGCTGAGGATCCAGGATCTCTGACCACAAAGGTGTGCCTGAGTTTCATCTGACTCAAAGTCGGAACTGGTGTCCGTCATGATGCTACATTAATTCTTAATGGTTTTCATCACTTGAGAAGGACCCAGATAGGTTATAGTGCACATGTGCGACCAACTTAAAGTGTTCTGTGAAAGAGGAGAGTCTTCTGGGATGCAGGGTCTACTCTGGGCAACCTTTGCGTTTCTGGAAAATTGTTTCCATTATCCTTACATCTGCGGGTTCCTAGGCCATCCCAGGTTTTAGTGCTCTGAAGGGCGAGATGTCAATGGGTCTGCTTTTCTGCCAGTGAGGCTTCCATGAGAGGTGTGGGATTACAGTCATCCTACTCATTACGCTTGTGTCCTTTGCAAATTGCATTGCATTCTTTGAGCCAGCACTGTCTCATGGACTGTACCTGGTTTCTCTTCCCTGTTTCATTAAGGTGCCTAAGAAGTGTTTATACTTAGGTTTTCCCACAAAAGCGTTAAAATTCATCCTTTGCAGCAAACTCAGTCAAATCAATTCACACTTATTTTCAGGGGAGGAAAAAAATAAAATTACACCTTGTTTACAAATGAAATAGTTTCACTTAAATGGGACTCCAGCCAAGGCAGTTAATTAGTCAAAAGATTCACGGCAGCCATGCGTTCATACATTGTTTATTCTATTTGGTATGTCTACCACTGATGTGTATTTAATATTCTGCATCTTTCTCAGGAAATGACAAATGCCCTGAATTCTTTGCAAATGGAATTGCTAATGAAAAATAAAAGAAAAAGTTGGTGTTAATTAAATGGTGATTAAAAAATTATCTCCTTTAAATCTAAAAAAGTCCAGCCTTAATAATCAGTTGTCATATAAATCAATACCTTGCACTGAAATCCTTTGCAGGGTTTAAGACCTAAATAAATACTAAGTTGAGAAACCTAAATATCTTTCAGAAGAGCTGAATATATCCGCTAACTTTATGCAAACCCTGTACTGTTTCTTTGTGTAGAGCTGTTGTTTATGAATTCTTCAAAGGGGAACATGCTTCTGAAATGGAGCCTGTTTGTATTAAGCGCAGCTAGAACAGACATAATTGGACTTCAAGGGGAAAACCACCATCAACAAAAAAAACTCCCCAAACTTAATAGGTGAAAGCTAAACTCAGTGGTTGGTATTTAATATGAGTCAAGGCAATTTGCATTCCAAAAGCAGTGTTTATTTTCCCTTGAGACAAAATAAGACCTTTCCAGATACCCCATCTTCTCTTGGTAAACAGTGTCCTAATTGTTTAATGAAAGGTTACCTGGAGTTTTGACTTGAAAAGTCCTCTCAGTATGCAGTTGCCCTTTCACATTCAACCCCTTTACATTGTTCTCTGTTCCTATCTAATTGTATCAGATGAGGTCAGCTTGGCCCTTGATGGAGATCGGAGATGTCCAAATGCACTTATCCTGTGAATATCAATGCTCGGGTACACATGTATATAATATGCTTGTTTTCTACAATTTACACGTACATGTATTATCCAAATAAAATTGTATATAATGTAAAGTTTATGTTAAAATTTAAATGATGATAAGGATATTAACACATGGAAAACCCATTCTGGTTATAGATGGGATGATATTTCTGTAAAGAGGGCACTATTTTTTTCTTTTAAATAATCTCAGTTCTAGGGAGGATAACAGAACCCAAGTGGCATTTGTGTGTTGGAGTTCTTGGCCCCTTATATAAAAAAAATATCTGGGGTTAGGGGCGCGGGATGTAGTCTGCTCACTGTTACTCTAGAAGACAGTGCTGATACAGACATGCCCTTGATTTCTGCAGACCCACTGAAGGGCGCGTTTCCTGTTTAAACGCCTTCTCTTCTTTGCCCACCCACACTCCATGCCCGTAAATACTCAGTATAGTATCAGCTAACAGTGTCTGCCCACAAGGGTCTTAAAAAAACAGAACTTATAGAACTACACCAAGATTTGGGGCAAGGAGAAAGGCGATGGGAAAATGAAGAGAAGATGAAGTTGCAAAGAGGCAGTAGCCATCTGTTCAAGGCTGTCAGGTTGACAGTGTCAGAGTCAGGTCTAGAACCTGAGACTTCCGAGTCCTAGCTTGGTTCCTTTTTCCAGGCTATCTCATCCCTAGGTTTCTCTCAAGAGTGTTTCCCTGAACACCTCTAGGATCAGTGCTGGAAAACCTCACAGAACTGACCTTGCTGTCTTTGCCTCTTGCCTTATACAGACCCGTGCACCCTTCTTTGAATTTAGTTTTCCTTTAAGCTCCCCCAAAACCCCTTGTCTCGGAGTCCTGGAGAAGAGAAACCTCTTTCCAGGGACTTATTCCCTGTGGAAAGAGTGGATAACGGGATATGGTTTAAAATCTCAAACCGAAGATGAAAACTGGCAGGGATCATTGAGGTTATATTGTTACATTTCTCGTTAGCCAAGGATGAACAAAGGACCTTGATTAGCTGATGGAAGCTGACTAAGTATCCACTCTCCTTTTAGGGCCAGTTTGGGATGGAGGAGAGGCGGAGGGACTAGAAAGTACAATCTCTTCCCATAAGCACGCTCTAGAACTTCAGTGCCCTAGGACGAAAGACAAGCGAGAACACAGACTAAATGAAAAAACTGGAAATGATGAAGTTTTCATCAGGAGATAAAAATGTATGTGATTCCATGATCAAACAAAACAGGTAATCCCTCCCCTAGACTTACTTCCAAGTAACTTTAGAGAATATATTTGTTCTTGGAGATACCCGTCCACGATGGTACTCAGGACACCTAGGAGCATTGATCAGGTGAGCAGACTCGCCCTTCCCTGATTTTGCACAGGCAGGCTTGGATCTGGGTCCTCTCAGCTCTCCAGTCCTTGCCGCATCATGCCTCCTTCCATCTCTGCTTTATGACATGTGCTTTAAGAAAAGGTTGGGGGCGGGGGGAATCCTTAAAGGATTGGGAAATAGACCATGATGTATGAAGACTATTTCCTGAAAGCTTTTGTGTTTGGTTTGGTTTTTGACTTGTGAAGAGTACTTTGGATAGTTCAGGGTAAAAAATGTATCAGGGAGGAAAGTAGAGAGAATTCCTGTGGAGTCCCAAGTGCCTCTGTGTTGTGGCTAGCCAAAAAGAATGCATCAGGTGCCTGGAAAGAAAAGGGGACGATGAGACAGCAAAAGGAATTAAGGTGTATTTCAGAAAGATGGTGGGGTGGAGAAGGGGCTTATTTTTTTCTCTGTCCATCCTATTCTGTGTATTTCTGAAACATCGGGGTCTCCATTCATCCCAAGAACGTGCCTTGGTTCAGCACCTGATTTTGGAAATATCAAAATGTATCTATATTGCGTGTAGACTGTATTCTGGGTACATCCTAGAATGCGATCCTCAAAATAGCCTGGGGATGTAAGTAGGAGTGCTCTCCTTTTACAGATAAGAAAACTGATTCAGGTTGGTTTCCATCTCATTCAGCCACAAAAATCTGCTAATAAAGGTGTATTATGATCTCCTCCGGGGGAGGGGGTCAGAATAGATGTCTGGAAAAGAGATGTGTTGTTTTGAGGTCCCCGGGGCTCTCTCTTGAGTTTCTGCCTCTGTGGTGAGGAAGGTGATGCGTGTCTGTTTTGGGGTGTGTTGAGAACCCCCAGGATCCCGCCTCTGTTCGTCGGCCCCTCCTGAGACTTGAACACTGTCTGTGTCTCTCACCTGTATGCTTGCACTCAGCACTTACTTTTTTGGTTCCTGGGGAGTTATTTTCTCTACTTAGCATGTGCCTAATATTAAATATCCCTTTCCTAATATCTCTTCTTTTTCTTAGTAGACATCAGGGATAATTCCATTAACATATGCAAATAATATGCTCTCACACGTGTGCGGGCACACATGCCCACACACACACACACACACACATACACACACACACTCACACACACACTGCCTTGTGACCCCACTAAAGCCTCCCTACACATGGCGGCCCATTTTCAGAAAGAGGAGACTGCTTGCAAGTGACTGTCCTTCTGTTGATTGGCTTTGCCAAGCAGACAGAACAGAGTTTGGAGGTGTGACAGGGAATAGGAAATAGAGTTTGTGCATAAGTGACCAGGAGCTTTGGTAATCAGTATGGCTGAGGGCCAACTATTAAGATTTTTTTCCCCTGGTCACTGACTTTAAGATAACTGTTGAACCATTGCAATGCTTGTTTGGTTTGTCTCATTAAAGAATGTAGCATTGGAATATTCCCAGCTGACTTTCTAGGAGCCCGAAATGATGTAGGGCATAATGCATTGTGTAGGCCATGACCCATGAAGCCTTTCTTAAACCCCCTCTCCCATGTTCTAAGCCATACCCCTCTCTCCTGGCATTTATATTGACTGCGAGGTGGGGCACAGTAGAACCATTTTATAGAAAAGGAAGCTGAGTGAGGTTTGAAGGAATGTTTGTCTGGGGGATTCTGTGACTTGATCCCTCTAGAGGGTCAATTAACCTAAGGTTAAATGACCTTAACCTTAAGCTTGTCCTAGTCCCTGAGAAATTCTCTAGCCCTTTACACATTTCAAGCTGGCAGTAAGTCTCTGAGGACAGAAAGGTTATTGTTACTTAATAGCTATTTGAGATCCTGTTGTTGCGTCTACAAATGCATGACAACATTCTCCCAGGGATGCTGAGCTTTGCATAAACTAGAACACTCCAAAGAACAGTTTGGCCAGTGGTATCTCTTCACTGGGGCTGTATTTCAAAGCACACAACTCTCTAGGGAGCAGGAACCAAATTGTTGAAAATGGAGTCATTTCTCAGATTAACTTCCTCCAATAAGGTGTCAGCAGTATGTGGAAACAAACAAGACAAAACTGAAATCATCCCTCATAAACCCCTCTTATATACCACATGCGTGAAGCAATGAGTTTGCATCCTGGCAATTCTGAGAACATTCCTCATTAGCCATAGCCCTTGGTCATAACCTCCTCCAGTTAATTCTCTCTCACACCTTTGGGAAGGATTTAAGTTGAGCCTTCAAAAGGATATTAATATAACACGTAGCCAATACCACAGCTGCCTTTGAAATTAATAAGGTTAATTGTTCTCCAGCAAACATAAGTTTGTCTTTGGCATTTTAAATGCTCTCATTGATCTGACATTTTGCTGTTTCAAGCTTTTAAAAGGGCTCAAATCAAAGACTATTGATAGCTGAGCAAATAGTGAAGGTCCAGAAATATAAAAAACATTGTTGGCTTCTCCATGAAGAACAATCATAAGCTTTTGAATTCAATTGAGGTTTCTACATTAGCCATCTAAGATTTATTGAATTATTTCTGTTCTCAGTTCAGCTAATTCAAATAAATGAACTATATTGACTTTTTAAACCTATTTTATTTTTTTAGAAAATATTTAGTTTATTAGGTTTGTAGACACAGTTCTGGGGCCATGACCCATTAAGTAAATGTTCCTGGGCAGAAATTTATTAATAAGATTCAGATGACTATTTGGGGTCATATTCAGTTGATCATCTTTGAAAATCTTGATGGATTTGGGAAGATGAATATAGCACTCCTGACATTTATGTTTCTTAAATTTTTTCCCTGAGAAAGAATGTCAATTGTTTATTTTTTTCAAATAAGAGATAAGGTTAGAATAATATTTTCATAGAAAATTCAGTAAACTACTCAAAAAACTAATTACATGGCTAGATATGGCTCAGATGCCTTCCAAGCCTGGGGGTCCCCAAAGATTTCTTTTATCAGTTGTTTTTAACTCTGAATCTTAATTTTATTCATTCCCTTGCTAAAACAAATTTAAAAGCATACACTTCCCAAATTATTTAGTCGGGATAAGTCAATGTAGTTTATCACAATAGAATGTCTGTGTATATTTTTACGTATAGTCTATATATTTCAGGCTAGATATTCAGAAAGAATTAGGTCAGTTAACCGGTGGCTTGAATAAGAAGAAGATCATAAGCATCATAAATAATGGCCTTCTCAGACAGAAAAAGAGGGTAAACTATCCATCTTTCACTTGTGTTCTAAGACTCACTTAACAATACACAAGCTGGTCATTACCCACAAGAAAGAAACTGAATTAAGTGGCTTGAAAGGTCCGTGTCTGAGTTCACTTTTAACGCAACATGGATAGGATTACACGTCTGTATGCAGAGGGTTTCCATTCACAGCTACATTCAAACACAGTTGAAAACCCACATCAGAACTGGCTCGATCTCTGGTTTGGTGGAGCCCTAAGCAAGCTGCGCGCTCTGCTCAGTGGTTTTCATTCAGGAATAAGATGTTCACTTACCAACCGCAACCGTTTATATCTGTCATGTTTTAATCCACTGCATGAGGAAGTGCTAATAACTGTATTAAATATTTCCAAGCATAGCTACAAAATTACACGTTTGCTTAACACCTTTCTATGATAGAGGAAGTATATACTATGGTTGTCTCCTTGTAGTATGTCTTTTATTTTTGTTCAATGTGTTATCAACTGTTTTAAAGGAATGGGGTTTGAAATGTGTGTGCAAACTGGTATGTACATAACTCCCGAGGCAACAAAAGTGCCCAGTCATATGGTGTAAAAATGTAAATACAGGAAAATTTCATTTTTCTAATAAAGATAATTTCTGCCAATTGATATGAAAATGAGAAACGGAGTTGTGGTCTTTGTTGTTGTTGCTGCTGTGGTTGTGGGCATCGGGAACGTTTCAAATGGGCTTTGTATTTCTAGAAATGGGAAATCATTTGACTTGCCCCTCTGCACATTGGATGAGTAGTGAGGGGAGCCTGGAACTGGGAAGAACCCAGGACCTGGCTCAGGATTTTAGCAGCGAGCTTGGCCACTGTCCTTCACCTGGATCTCATCTTCCAGTGCAGTTTCCACACTCACCGTCTTGACTCTGATAACATTGAACTTTACCAAGGCCTGTGATTTATGACTCTGGGGGGAGTGGGGGGAAACAAGGGTAAAACCCTTCTCTCCTTTTCGTATCCCAGGCAACAGCTGACTGCAAAGAACCACCCTTCTCCATATGCCTTCCATATGACGCATGGATGCCTGCTTGTTTCTCCATGCCAAGGCCAAACACAGACCCTTCAAATTCCCAGTCCTTTCCTCATAAATGATCAGCTGACCTTCTTGTTCCCAATGATCAATCAAAACAAAAATGCTTGTTGACCTGCCAGAGCCAGCCTCCTCCTGGGAATGGACTGGCTTTAGATTCTCAGATACACTGCTGTCCAGTCCCCCCTCTCTCCCTCATCTCATGCCCCCGCATCCTATTCTTTCCAGTTCTGTTTACCACTGCCTACAAAAGAACCACTGCTTTTACCTAATGCATGAGACGCTTGCAAATCTACTCGGCATTCTCCCCATTCCAATAGTCTTCCCCTATTGCAAGAGTTCCTTTCTTTTCCTTGAAATAATTCTTCTTAATCAAGTCTATCCTGACTAAATCTAGATTTAATTTTCACTTGACAACTCCCAGCTCTAGATCAAATGACATTTCTAAAACCAAAGTCTGACTGTGTTCACTTCACTGCTCCTTTACTTCAAATCTTCAGCTTGAAACAAAGGATCCACAGGTAAAGCCCAAATTCCACAGCCCAGCAAACTGGGCTTCCAGTCCCCACCAAACCCCTTCCTACCGCATGCTGTAGGCTATATCTGCAACTAAAGTCTTTCTGCTCCTCTCCAAAGACACCATGAGCTCTTGGTGTTCCATGCCTTCTCTCATGCTCTTCTTTCCTCCTGAGATGCTGGTCTCCTGTTCATCTCCTTGTCAACTCTTAATCCTCCTTCAAATTCTATCTTCGACAGAAGCCTCTTTTTAGTCTTCCCAAGCTCCCCCCCACCCCCCGCACCCAGAAGCAGAGTGAACAGTTGACTTTTCCATGATTCAGCCCCTTGTACACACATCTATTGAATGATTTAGGAGGCTTTACTAAACTTTTTGGAAAACGCCCTGTTGTTGAGAAAGATTGAAGGCAGGAGAAGAAGGGGATGACAGAGGATGAGATGGTTGGATGGCATCACCAACTCGATAGACATGAGTTTGAGCAAACTGTGGAAGATGATGAAGGACAGGGAAGCCTGGTGTGCTGCAGTCCATGGGGTCGCAAGGAGCAAGACACAATGAGTGCACACACAAACACACTGAACTTTTTAATGTGGTATCTCTCTCCTTAAAATGTATGATTTTCCAGGGCTTTTCTGTTCTACATGAAAATATATAGTTTTTCATCTTTGAATCCTAGCACCCAGCCCAGCATCTGACATAGAATGGGCCTTTTTGGATGGGTAGGAGAAGAGCTAATTGGTAGAGTGGGTGGCTGATGGTTGGGTGAGTGGCTGGATGGGCATATAGATGGAGTGCCTTGGAACCTGTTATTGGTTTACCTTGCTCTCTACCTTACCTGCTTGGACTATAATACCTTGCTCTCTACATTACCTACTTGGACTATAAATGCCACTGATTAGTCCCACATATTTATATTTGTCTGGCCTCCCCTATAAATTCTAGACTTACATATCCATATCTATAGTGTGTAGCTCCACCTAGAGATCTTAAAGACATCCAAATGCCAAAATATCTTAAAAAGCATATTGGACCACCCCCCACCCCCACATAGAATTCGTATCCTCCCCCAATGTTCCCCATCTCAGGAGACAGCTCTGCTACTGACCTGACATCTCAGGCTAAATACTTCCTGGTCATCCTTCACTCTTCTTCCTGACCCCCCATCCCCAACTCCTTACTCCATCCACCAGCTCTGTCTGTGTAGCTTTTAAAATGCATTCGGGATCCATCTGCTTCTCATCACTTCTACCGCAATCACCCTCCCATTTATGCAAATGCAACTGCTTTTTAACCTGTGTACCTGCTTCCTCTCTTGCCTCCTTGCCTCCATTCTCCAGACAGAAAACACAAATTACATCATATCCCTCACCGGGTCGCAAGTCTTTAGTACTTTCACATTGTGGTCAGAATAAAATCAAAATTCTTCCCCATTCTAACTCCAAGTCCCAAACTCTTTTTTTGAAAATTATGTATTTGTCATTTTAAATTATTTTGGGCTGCACTGGGTCTTTGCAGTTGCACACGGGCGTTCTCTAGTTGTGCAAGTGGGAGCTCCTCGCTGGTTGTGGTGTGCAGGCTTCTCACTGCGGTGGCTCTTTTTGTTGGGGAATGCAGGCCCTAGGGGCAGGCATCAGTAGTCGTGGAACCCGGGCTCTAGAACACAGGTTCAGTAGTTGGCCTTATTTGCTCTGTGTCATGTGGGACCTTCTCAGACCAGGGATCAAAGCTGTGTCCCCTTCATTGGCAGGCAGATTCTCAGCCATTGGACCACCAGAGAAGCCCCCAAATGCTTACACTGTGGTACACACTCCAAGAAAAAAAAGACAAATGTTTCCCTTTGCTCTTGCCTTATTCCCTGTCTTTGGAGTCTAGAGACTCCAAAGCCTTTTCTCTTTTTTTGGATCAGCCAACAATGGGCTATTTCCAACGCATTTTCCATTAACTGAAGTGGCACTAAATACCCTTGCTTCTATGAAACTAATCAGCAATTTGTGAGATGCCTTTACATCCATGTAGCCCCATTTTGGGTCATAATTATTTCCTAATTAGGAGGCAATTTATATTTGGGACTTGGGACATTTGCTTTTGCCAGTGACGTGGCTATCCAGAATGGTTCAGTTCCTTTTTTTTCCTCCCCAAGATTCTGCTGGCTAAAGCCAGATGACCAGACAGCCAAGCAAACTTAATTAACAGACAGTTTTGTTCCTGTGGGAGGGAAAAATCTCTCACTTTCCCATCAAATGTGCTATCATTCTGAGAACAAAACCAAATATATTTCTTTTGGAAGACCTTGTAATCTTCTCTTAGGAATGGAGTGGGGGGAGAAGAGGAAGTCAGTTACCTTTTTTTCCAAGAGTTTTGATGAAATTTATTAAAGTTCTTTCAACTAACCCATCTGTGTAAAAATATCTTTTTAAATCTTTAAAACACTCCATTGTAGCAGGGATTATAATACCCATTTTACATATTCAGAAACCAAGGTTCAGAGAGTTGAAGTGACTTCCTCAAGACTATACAACCAGGTCATTGTGAAGCTGGGGCCAGAGGTGAGCACATATCAGCTGAACCTCACATCCCATGATGTTTTCATCTCTACTTAGTGTTCACCATTACTTAGATTCCAGTAATCACAGAGTCCTGTGCGACAGAAACCGCCTCTGTGTCCCTGATGACTTACATATTGTAAATGGCCAGTAAATGTTTTTAAACAAGAAGCAGAAAGAAGAACCAGGAAGTCTCAGTTCTTGGCCACATCTTTGCTGTGTGACTTTTGTCTTTTCACTTCACCTCTCTGATTCTTCTCATAGTCTTCTCATGCATATCCGTGAAATGAGGATTTTCAGCTCCATCTCTGCCCTCTTCCTAGGCATGTGCAGGGACGTTGTCAACTATACCATGCAAAAGATAGCTCCTTCTGTACTTTCTTTAGTTCCAAAACTTTGGAGTTGTGTTCCAGGTATCTCCAAAGAAAAACAACTTCCAGTGACTATCTGACTTCTCTTCTTTTCTGGGGACAGAGGGTATCTTTTCCTGGAGGTGAGAATGGTCCAAGAATTAGAGGTCATAGATTAGGACTTTCTACTAAGGAAGCAGACAAGGGATCACTGGCTTTGTTTCTGAGCTCTCCGCGGTTCTGAAAGCTCCAAAGATGTAGGTGCCAAGTCTTCACTAGTCTCCTTAGACAGCAGATAGACAAGAGGATCACATTTTTGTTTCTGGAAACTTCAAGATGCTAAAATTTCCAAGTTTGTGTATGCAAAGCCTGGTGCACTGTGGTTTAGCAAAAACTTCCATTCAGCTTGCACGCTGTCAGGAGCCAGGAGGAGACTGTGCTGACTTTCCGTTTGAAAGTCTTTATTTCCCTTGAAGAAGTGTCCAACTCTCTCCTGTTTCCCACCACCCGCTGACATGCCAGGGCGTTTGGGAAGTTTTCTTTTTCTTTCTCTTGCCTCTCTCTCACTTCGTCTTTGTTCCTGCCTGAGGAAGAAGCAGCAGCCTTGTTCTTCTTAGCTCAGCGGTACTGCAGGCAGCCCTGCATTCTTAAGGAGAGCGTCCTCCTCTTCCATTTCTTCCAAAGCAGGTAAGACATCCCAGTGCCCAGTTCAGAGGCTGGGCCCCTGGAGCTAGTGGCATCACATATGCTCAACAATTTTGTTACTTTCCATTGCTTGCAGCCTTTCATCGGAACATGAGCCAAGGAATTAAAAAAAAAAAAATGTGCAGCATAAGATGGAAGGAAGAAGCTGTCATTCCCTTCTTCCCCAGATCCCACTCTGTGTCTCCATCACCCAGCACAATGAGAAAAACACACAGACTTCTTGCTGTGTTTCAAGAAGCTGACTGATTACCTGTGGGCAACCTGGTACACTCAGACCAATCTAAAGAAGCCAGGGTCCAAGCTGGCTTACCAAACCAGAGCATATTTGAATTGAATTCAAGATGGACAGATGTCATCAGAATAGGAAATGTGGAGAGACGAGCCCATCTCAGGGCAGTCAACACACATGGGAGGCTTCATAATCCAGGGCATCCCAAAGTCACAACCATGGGTTAAACCGTAAACCA